GAGGAAAGGAGCTAAAGGTGTAGGGAAGGTGTGATACGTAGGGGAAGAACAAAAAGGGAAAAGAAAAAAATGTGAGAGAATGAAAAGATGAAAATAAAGTGTTTGTAGATGGGGAGGGGAGGAGGGGGTGAAGGGAGGGCAGAGGTAAGGGGAAAAAATGAGAATCAAGACTTGCCATGTAAAGGTACATGATCCCAACAATGCATGTAACTGTACTGTATCTCTAAAATGTACCAATAAACTCAATAAAATTAAAAAAAAAATTGGTTTTTCCATTCACACAGCCTATCTTTAGTAATTATTTCTAATAAAAAGGCATGGGTACAGGAAATTGGAACGTATATAATACAAACTCTAGAAATGGCAACAGTAGAATTCTTCATAAGTAACTTCCAGGCTGAGATATGCTAATTTGGGATTGGAAAGCCAAATATAGCCTTCATATTTGCTATTAATGTTTAGCTCATTATAACCTTAATTGTTCTTTTGAACACGGCACAGCATAAAATAAACTATTTGCTATTTGAAATTAACATCATTGAGTCAGAAATGTATTTTCACATTCACTTCAAAAGCCAGGTTGTGCCCAGTCTTGTAGCAAACAGGCCAAGTTCCCTTTCATCTTATCAGATATATTAATTTATACTACATAAATATAAATGAAAACAGCTTTAAACTATTAATGCAGAGACCTCCACGCTAACATGAGTAAATTCTTGCATAGTAATATTTTAATTATTATTTAAGTCCAAGTCCAAATACTTACACATAATAAAGTGTTTCTGAATAAATATAGAATATGTATAGCTAACCTAAACTCTACTGGTTGGCTTTTACCTTGTGTTTAACTAGCAGCATTGCCAGTAACTGTATAAAATTGCAGACCTGTTTTTCAGCATTGGTCCTGGCTGATTCCTCTTGTGCCAGCACCATTTCTCGCTCTGCAGTTATCTGTACACTTTCTCTCAGTGCTTCTTCCAGTTCTTCAATCCTGTCATCCTTCTTACGGAGACTGTCCTGGAAAACGATGGAAGACTAGGTGAAGTAGACTAATCAATTAACCCAAGATGAGCCTATTTATCAAGAAAAGGCTGTTTGCTTATTAAAAGTTATTTCTTTGGAAGCAAACCAAGGCAAGAAAGTTATCTTCACAGAGGAAAGAATAAAGGAAGAAAAGAAGTAAACAAGCTTGAATAAGTTTATTAAGAGCAATGAGATGAATTAGTTAAGCAAGACAGACATGACAGACTTGCTCTCTGAAGCAGAGAGAATAAAGCTTTGTCAGCATAGACAATAAGGGTTTGGTTATTTAAAAACACAAAATTGTTGTAGAACTATTCTCTAATCTGAGCTGAAAACCAACTTGGATGAGATTCTACTTAGATTGAATACCAAAACACTGTCTATCCTTGGAATGTTACACCTAGGAAAAAAGTAAACACGACTCTTCAGATTGCATTCTTCACATACACAATTACTGGCAAAATAATTTTTTAAAAAATGAAAAAGAAGAGGATGTTTCTTAATGGTTCATGAAAGTAAAGTTTTCTCAATATTATAAGAGACAGCTGGAAACAAGTGGATGTAAGAGATTGGTCTGGATAAGACTGAATAATTTACTCACGCAATATCTGTTAGGTCTTATGTTCTATATAAATTTAAAATGTAACTTTTGGGAGGTGAGATGTATCAGAAAGAAAAATTCTACAGGATTTTAAGATCATGTAAGATAGTTGAAATTTTAAAATAAAGATAAGAATGCATGCAAACTGGAGAACAAGATTCATCAGTGTATTAATAAGCACTCTCTCTTCAAATTCTTGTAGAACCAGAGGATTGAGGATAAAGTGTTGCCTTTTATGAAAACAAAAGAACAAGGTTTGCCTGGATATTTACATGCAGAAGAGTGAAATTAGGCACTCATCTCTAACAGCAATCAATTCAAGATGGATTAAAGAATTAAATGTAAGACCCAAAACTATGAAACTACTAGAAGCAGAGAAGAAGAGCTTCAAAACATTGTGTTAGACAAAAGGTTTTTGGATAAAACCTTGAAAGCACAGGCAACAAATGAAAAAACAGATAAATGGGGCAATATCCAACTAAAAATTTCTGTACAGCACAGCAAACAATCACAAGAATGAAGAAATAATCTATAAAATGTGAGAAAGTATTTGTAATCTATACATCTTTACATCTACTGAGGGCTTAATATCGAAAACTACAAGAAGAAATCAGCTCAATAGCAAGAAAACAAATAACCATGTTTTAAAATGAGCAAAATACCTGTACAGATATTTCTTAAAAGAAAATATATGTAGTCAACAAGCATATGAAAAAATACTTATCATTAATCATCAGATAAATTGAAATCAAAATCACAATAAGATATCATCTCACCCTAGTTAAGATTGGCCCTTAACCAAAATAACAAAATGTAACAAATGTTCATGCAGATGCAGAGAAAGGAGATCTCTCATACATTATTTGTCAGGAACAGGGTTTCTCACATACTATTTGTTGAGAATATAATTCAGCCATTATGGAAAACACAGAGGTTGATCAACAAATTAAAAACAGAAGCAACATATGATCCAGCTATTCCACTGAGACCAGGAGATTTGCAAATAGGCAGTTGGGATAGAGACCTGTGTAATCTAAAATAAGCTGTGGGAAAATGGAAACAAGAAGGAAAGAGGCTCAGTGAAGTACAATATGCTATGGAAAGCTGGGGTACAGAGGAAGTCTACTCCTCCGGAGTCAGAAGCCTAGCTAAAAGCAGTTAGTACACAGTTTCACTGACTATTTATAAACTTATGAACTCAAGACCATGCTAATGAGCAAAAGAAAGCTGAAGGGAACAAAATATGTATAAATTACAAGTCATCATATTTTTCATCTTCTAATTTAAAGTCCTATGCATTTCTTCCTGGCAAAAAAATAGCTCAAGTGGGACATAAATATGGAAAACTTCTTCCAAGACTTCTAATAACCATGGGATCCTCAAAATAAGAAGGAAAAAAAAAATTTAAGGGCACAGTGTAGAAGCTTCTGCTGTAATTCTAAAGATTCCAAACATATTTTAAAACATAAATATCTCAATAGCAGGGCCTGAAGACGGTAGCTTAATACTAGACCATTTGCTTAACATGTGTGAGGTTCTGGGTTCAATCCACAAACCAGAAAAGAAAGACAAAAAAAAAAAAATTCCCTGTTAAATATCCATCAGTGCCATCTAAGATACAACACAAACTCAAGAGGCTTTAAAAAAATTTTTTTGCCATCCTTTTTTCTGTAAAAAAAATTTTTTATATCTACAAAATTAGTAGTGAGTAGACTGTAGTGACACAATCTGACACAGAACTATAGGGACAAAACTGCTCATCTATACTGTACTTGATGGTATATTCTGGTTTGATGGAAAAGAAAAACTTCTCATCTGTTCAGTGCCTGAAGAAGTGATATTTATCACCAGCTTCTTGAATGTGTGAGCCAATAAGATATTGGTTGGTAAAGTTTTAGTCTTTATAAAAGATGAGTTGTAACAGACTTCATATACTTCTATTCTCAGGTCTGTGCAGAAGGACATAAAAGGATGTACTGGAGCCTCTACCTAGTGTTTTTGTTGCCTTAAACAGGGACAGTGATTACATTGGTATATCCTGAATTCCTGAATATGTACTTTATAATCTATCTTTTCTCTTTCCAAATTCCCAGTCTTCATGATAAACTATGAAGCAGTCATACCATTCTAGCTTTATAACGCTGGAGAAATCAACATATCATAGAATCTCACAGATCCCTATTCTCTGCTATCTCTAAGTTATTCCTCAGGTTTGAAGAATCTGAAGCATTTGGAAATTAGAAGATTCACCTACTGGACCTAAATGCAGCAGGAGATTAAAAGTTAAAATATCCCATACTTCAGTTTGAGACAATCATTCCTGTTTATATATATTCTTAATTTGCTACTAGATTACAATACAGAGTTCTTCTGTCTTCAGCTAAATATACAACAGGGAGACTATCCTTTAGCTGAAATACTTGGGCCTTGAAGTGTTGGATTTGTTTCTGAACTTTTGCACATATGTAACAAGCTATCTCGGGGATTAGACTGAAGTTTTAGCACAAAATTCATCATCTGTTCAACATATACTGCACTTTAAGCATACACCCTTAAGATCACTTTCTACAAGTGTGTCTGTGTTTTGACTGTGACCACTCACGTGAGGGCAGGTATGGAATTTTCCATTTGTAGCACCACATTTGTACTGAGAAAGTTTCAGATATTGGAGCATTTTGGAGTTTGAATTTTCAAATTAAGGATGTTCAAATTAAATTTTTACTATTCAATATGGTGGCCACTATAAACAAAATGCTTCTAGGCACTTAAAATATGGCTAATCCAAATTGAGATATGCTATAAATATACACAAAATTTTTAAGATCTAGTCTTCAAAAATATAAAATGCTTCATTAATAATTTCCATATTGATTGTATGTTAAATATTTTACATCAGAGTAAATAAAATACATTATTAAATTGATGTCATCTGTTTCTTTTAGTTTTTTTTTTTTTTTTCTTCTTTGAGACAAGGTCTTACTATATAGTTCAGGCTTGCCTTGAACTCACTATGGAACTCAAGATGGTCTTGAACTCCTAGCAATCTTCCTGTCTCAGTCTCCCAAGTGCAGGGATGACAGGCATGCACCACCATGACCAGCTTTCTTTTAGTTTTTAATGAGGCATTAGAAAACTCAAAATGTGTGGCTCACATATTTTTACTACAGAAGATTATACTAACTAGAATGGATTTATATATGATATTTCTATAAAAGGCTACATACAATCCCTCATGTTACATAACAGACAAATACAAATTCAAGGCAATAGTCCTTATGTCAAACACCATCAAAACCTCCAAAATATTTAGCTCTGATAATTATCATACTGATAAACTTAATAAAACAATTTTAAATAGCATTTACTCTTAAGCCAGTAGAGAAAACCAAGATGTCCAGTTGGGGGAAGGAGGGAGGTCACGCTATGGCAGATCATTTTAATACTGAGACTACTACACACCTCCGGTAGTTATTTGCTGACTTTAAAACTTAGCAGCCTAGGGCTAGAGATTTAGCTCAGTGGTGAGGCAACTGCCTCACAAGTTCAAGGTCCTGAGTTTGATTCCTGGTACTGGAAAAAACAAAAAACTTAGCAGCCTAAAAGAACAGTAAATATTTATTATCCCAGAGAGTTTCTGTTTGGAAAGAACTCAAACATACCTGCCAGGTTGAACCAGCAGTGATACATGCATTACTGTCTCACTGGGTGGCTTGTACCACTGTGGTATAAATGTATCTAATCACTTTCATCAGTATTTTTACTAATAAAATTAAGAAAAAGTATATAAATAAACTCCCCCTAAGGACAAAGGAATAATAAAAGAAAATTTAACCACTGGGATAACTAATAACCTAGCTGTTTTGTTTTTGGTATCCTACATTAACCAAAAAAGCAAATACCAGTTAGCTTCTAACAGCAGATGATAGAATTCAAATCAGAGCCACCTGGCAGTGAGACATACAAATTAAATCAAAATCAAGGGTGAAAAATACAAATTATGGTCCTGTTGTGAATGTGGCAAGTGAACACTTTAGTTATAGGGTCTCTCACTGGGTTGTATTCAGAGGTCACATAAACTTTAGTCCTCTACCTTCTACATGAATGACTGGCAAGCGGATACAGCTACTGACTTCAAGGAGCCTCTGTTTATGTCCACAAGACTCTTAAGTTTCATTACATCATGGACACTGGCTTCTATCAGAGCAAGTGTTCTGAGGGAGAAAGAAGCATCAACATCTTATAATCTACCTTTAGAATTCATATATTATCACTTCTGCTTTCGTATATCATTCACGCAAACCAACCCTGGTACAGTATGGGACAGGATTACATAAAAGCATGAATACTAGGAGTTAAGAATGGCATGGAGACACACCGGAGGATGATTAGCATA